CTCCCAATCACCGTATTGTGATCCCATCATCTGAAACTAGCTAAGAAAACTACTATATACCCTAACCAATTCAACAAGGTATTGGGGAAAAAAGGCAGTACATCCTTGCCCCATGGTCGAAGAACGAACAAAAAGAATCAATGTCAATGCTGCTTCGAGTTCAGAAGCGTCTTCCTCAAGCTCTCCATCACGGACTGGATCTTATCCGACATCTTCTGGTAAAGCCATCTCTGTGCTGCCTCGTCTAGCCCCTCCGGCGTGATGGTTGGCCAGCCCTTCCTTTTGAAGGATGTGTCTTGTGGTATCATTGCTGCCACCTGCTTTAAGCCTGGCAGATCAAAATCTACTGGTTCTCCCACGATGATCTGTATCTCCTTGCCGCAGAGAGGTAATGGTGGACGGCGTCCAAAAAATGATTTCTCTGGCATGACCTAAAGTACAATCGGGAGAAGTTCAGAGTACCATATAACATAAACGAGATTTGGGTTTATTAAAGGGAATACAAATGAAATAGTGCTCTGAGTCAAGTGGTTTACTGAATATGAGACAGATAAAACTGTGTGCAATATATTCAGATTTCAGCAGAGTACTATATATATGGAATTATATTTGAAATGCCCATCTACAACACAGAATATATACACAAAATGATGGCATCTCAGGGATTCAAAGATTACAATATACCTTTTCAAAACCAGTGTGAACAATAGGTAAAATTATTGGAGTTACGGGTGCTCGGACAATAAGACTGGCAGTTCCCCATTTCAACCGTCTGATTGGTTGGTGATCCTGGGCTACTTTTCCTTCAGGGAATGAATGCAACTGTTTGAATATGGCATGACGAAATTTACAATCAAATAAGGACCAGAATTTAGAAACATAAGCACAACATATGATAATGATGGAATAGTTAATGCTGAACCAAAGAAATGTACATACCCAGCCTCCAGTGCTAAGCACTTCAAGGGCCTCATTCATATGGTCTTGATAAATTCCAGCCCCTCTAGTGATCGGCACACATTTCCCTGTGCATACAATTATATGCCAATAACAAGATTGTCAAATTATGTGATGCAGAGTGATACCAACTCTGCCTTGCAATGAAACCCTGAAAATGAAAAGATAAGAAAAATACCAGAATAAAGATGACAAAAACACACAAGTGCTGAACATCAAAAGTAGCAGTTGAACTAGACATAACATAGCTGTTAGATAGCATATCATCATTTATGTATTACCACCACAACACATAGCATGTCAAGTATCATTTTCATATGGAGACTGAACGGTAAATGTCAACTTTATGGCAAATTTGAATTACAGAACAATTATGCACACCATTAACATGGTTCAGCAGAGAGAAATAACATACAGAATGCTTGGACAGGTTTGACTTTCTGAAGCTTGTCTTGGTAGTTAGAGGCTTAGAGCAATAAACCATGATTGCTTAGGTAACAAAAATATACGAAGCTTGTTAGAACTACGAAGGTTGTCTGCATTTAAAATGCAAAAGCATGCACAAAGTCACTGGATTAAATGGGGTTATTACATGATTAACAAAATGATGCCATTAACTAGCTCCACTAAGGAAACATTTCATATCTGAATTGACCTACAGTGGCGGTGCTCCACAACATTAGTTACAGCAAGTGAGAGTGGGGTTTGGGGAAGCTCACTATGCCTACATGATTAATATGCCACAGTAATAACATACTGATTATCATTTGACCATACATACCTGTGCAAAAAAGAAAAGTAAATAACAAACACGATAAGGAGCCTCACCAAGTCGAAACATGTAAGACATGAATACATTCCTGAAGCAGATATCCTCTGCTGTCAGCACCCATCTTGCAAGCTTTGAATCTGTAATAGGGAAACCCTTGAATCCCCACATAAATGGGTCATCTATCCTGTACAAATAAGTATAGGATAACCTCAAGGTTACCAAAACTTCCAACAGACAAGAATTGTGTACAGCAAACAATACATGCCTAACTAATTTGTAATTGTCCACACTGGAACCTATACATGACACCTGTACAATACAACAGCAGGCAAATACAATGCATACACATTGTATGGCAAATGACAAGTTATACTTTCCTTAAACAAGAACAGCGATCTACAACATGATGTTGCATATGAATGGATAAGAAAAGAGCAAGATGCACACTTCTCAAATGATCCATGCTAAAAACGTGCCTAAAAAAAGGATTTCAACACTTCAAAGTCCTCTTTCAGTATGCTAATGACAGCAATACATAGGTATAACTACATGCTCTAAATCCCAATAATGTTAGCAGGGCAGGATGCAACTTGCTGGCTTCCAGCAACAATTTCGCACAATTCTTGCGACATTGGTGCCAGAGCCACGACAGATCGAACACATCGCCATCAGGTCTGTCCTCCTACATCTGGTCAGAATCCAAAAGCCACAAACAGCAAGAGCGGTACTCGGGGAAGATCCGGGAGGGATACGACGGGGGAGTGGGGGAACATACGTGGACATATGGTTGCTGACGGTGAGGAGCGGCGTGCCGGGGGGCCGCGAGGAGACGAGGCGGTGGAGGGCGTCGGCGTTGTGCACGGTGGTGGTGTTGAGCAGCGACACGTACGCCTTAGCGATGGTGCCCACGGCGCCTATCACCGCCGCGCGGGGGACGCCGCCAAGGTGCCCCGCACGGCCGGCCCACCGCAGCGTCCGCGCCGCCGCCGCCGTCGCCGCGTCGGCGGACACCTCCATCTTTTACCCCTTTCTTGTCGCGGTGTTCTTTCCGTTTTGGTGGGCCTGATCTATGACCTTTTTTTAGTTGGGTTTTTATTTTCTTTTGATGATGAGTTAGGCCCGGACTATGACTCATTGACTTGCAATGGCTGGTGATACATTCTGTTTTTCGCCTTTTACCATTTCTTTTGGGAAATACTAACGCCCACACGTGTGGTGTTTAGCATCCTGCCCACACGCGTCATCTATCGCTGGATCATTTTGCACAATTTTTGAAGCACTGTACGACGTCACGTCATCCCACAGCCTCGTCCGGGCCTCGACAAACTGTGTCGCACGCCCTCACTCTCGTTCTCTCGTTCTTCTTCCCCTACTCTGCCTCACCTTCTTCCCCATCTACCCGCACATCACACACACACACACACTATAGCCCGAGCGGAGGCGGGCGGAGGCCCCGAGCGGTGGCGGGCCAACGGTGGCGGGCGTTGGCCCCGAGCGGAGGCGGGCGGAGGCCTCGGGCGGCGGCTGTGGGTCGGGGGGGCAGCTACCGATGGTGTGGTGCTGTGCGGATCCCGGTGAGTTCTCAGTGATTCCCGGTGAGGGTGGCGCGGGATCCAGCGTGCCGGCGATAGTTCACTTCTGAGGCGGGGGGTGGCGGCCAGGGGGTGAGGTCGTTGGCTATATCCACGAGGAGGCGGGGTTGCAGCGAAGCCCGGCGCCTGCTCGCCATGTCCGTAGGCGGCGGCGCTGTCTTTTCGACAGGGGAGGCATGGGCCCGCCGACCCCAAGGAGCCGGAGGCGTCATGGCTGCGATGGCGGGTAGGAGGCGCAGGCGGAGCGCACGGCCACCATGACGCATCTGCGGCTCCACGACACGGTGGGGACGATGGCGAGCTCACCTCTGCCTCCCGTCGGGGGTTCGACCTGAAGCACGGCTGCAGCAGCTCCCGAATGTTGGAAATATGCCCTAGAGGCAATAATAAAAGGATTATTATTATATTTCCTTGTTCATGATAATTGTCTTTTATTCATGCTATAACTGTATTATCCGGAAATCGTAATACACGTCTGAATACATAGACCATAACATGTCCCTAGTGAGCCTCTAGTTGACTAGCTCGTTGGTCAACAGATAGTCATGGTTTCCTGACTATGGACATTAGATGTCATTGACAACGGGATCACATCATTAGGAGAATGATGTGATGGACAAGACCCCATCCTAAGCATAGCACAAGATTGTGTAGTTCGTTTTGCTAGAGCTTTTTCAATGTCAAGTATCTCTTCCTTAGACCATGAGATCGTGTAACTCCCGGATACCGTAAGAGTGCTTTGGGTGTACCAAACGTCACAACGTAACTGGGTGACTATAAAGGTGCACTACAGGTATCTCCGAAAGTGTCTGTTGGGTTGACACGGATCGAGACTGGGATTTGTCACTCCGTACGACGGAGAGGTATCTCTGGGCCCACTCGGTAATGCATCATCATAATAAGCTCAAAGTGACCAAGTGTTTGGTCACGGGATCATGCATTATGGTACGAGTAAAGTGACTTGCCGGTAACGAGACTGAACGAGGTATTGGGATACTGACGATCGAGTCTCGGGCAAGTTACGTACCGATTGACAAAGGGAATTGTATACAGGGTTGATTGAATCCTTGACATCGTGGTTCATCTGATGACATCATCGAGGAGCATGTGGGAGCCAACATGGGTATCCAGATCCCGCTGTTGGTTATTGACCGGAGAGCCGTCTCGGTCATGTCTGCGTGTCTCCCGAACCCGTAGGGTCTACACACTTAAGGTTTGGTGACGCTAGGGTTATTAGAAAGACTTGTATGTGATTACCGAAAGTTGTTCGGAGTCCCGGATGAGATCCCGGACGTCACGAGGAGTTCCGGAATGGTCCGGAGGTGAAGATTTATATATGGGAAGTTGTCATACGGACACCGGAAAGATTCGGGGTCATATCGGTATTGTATCGGGGCCACCGGAGGGGTTCCGGGGGTCCACCGGGAGGGGCCACCCCTCTCGGAGGGCCTCGTGGGCCGCAAGGGGCAGGGAACCAGACCCTGGAGGGCTGGGCGCCCCCCCCTTGGGCCCATGCGCCTAGGGTTGGGGGGGCCCTAGTGGGGGCGCCCCCCTTTGCTTGGGGGGTAAGCCCCCCTCCCTGGCCGCCGCCCCCCCTCTAGATCCCATCTAGAGGGGCCGGTCCCCCTTGCCCCTTCCCCTATAAATAGAGGGGTGAGGGGAGGGCTGCAACACACAACCAAGCCGCAGCCCCTCCCCTCCCCAACACCTCTCCTCCTCCGTCACGAGCTTGGCGAAGCCCTATCGGAGTACTGCTTCTCCACCAACACCACACCGTCATGCTGCTGCTGGAGCCATCTTCCTCAACCTCTCCTTCCCCCTTGCTGGATCAAGAAGGAGGAGACGTCATCCGCTCCGTACGTGTGTTGAACGCGGAGGTGCTGTCCGTTCAGCACTTGGTCATCGGTGATTTGGATCACGGCGAGTACGACTCCATCATCCACGTTCTAGTGAACGCTTCCGCTCGCGATCTACAAGTGGTATGTAGATGCAATCTCTCTCCCATGACTTGTTGCTTAGATGAACTCATAGATGGATCTTGGTGAAACCGTAGGAAAATTTTTAATTTTCTGCTACGTTCCCCAACAGTGGCATCATGAGCTAGGTCTATGCGTAGTTCTCTATTGCACGAGTAGAACACAATTTTGTTGTGGGCGTAGATCTTGTCAACTTGCTTGCCGCTACTAGTCTTATCTTGCTTCAGCGGTATTGTGGGATGAAGCGGCCCGGACCAACCTTACACGTACGCTTACGTGAGACCGGTTCCACCGACTGACATGCACTAGTTGCATAAGGTGGCTGGCGGGTGTCTGTCTCTCCCACTTTAGTTGGAGCGGATTCGATGAAAAGGGTCCTTATGAAGGGTAAATAGAAGTTGACAAAATCACGTTGTGGTTATTCGTAGGTAAGAAAACGTTCTTGCTAGAACCCAATTGCAGCCACGTAAAAGATGCAACAACAATTAGAGGACGTCTAACTTGTTTTTGCAGCAATTGACATGTGATATGATATGGCCAGAAGTTGTGATGAATGATGAATGACATATTGTGATGTATGAGATCATGTTCTTGTAATAGGAATCACGACTTGCATGTCGATGAGTATGACAACCAGCAGGAGCCATAGGAGTTGTCTTTATTTTTGCATGACCTGCGTGTCATTGAAGAACGCCATGTAAATTACTTTACTTTATTGCTAAACGCGTTAGCCATAGAAGTAGAAGTAGTCGTTGGCGTGACAACTTCATGAAGACACGATGATGGAGATCATGATGATGGAGATCATGGTGATATGCCGGTGACAAGATGATCATGGAGCCCCGAAGATGGAGATTAATGGAGCTATATGATATTGGCCATATCATGTCACTACTATATGATTGCATGTGATGTTTATTATGTTTATGCATCTTGTTTACTTAGAACGACGGTAGTAAATAAGATGATCCCTTACAACAATCTCAAGAAGTGTTCTCCCCTAACTGTGCACCGTTGCTAAAGTTCGTCGTTTCGAAGCACCACGTGATGATCGGGTGTGATAGATCCTTACGTTCACATACAACGGGTGTAAGACAGTTTTACACATGCAAAACACTTAGGGTTAACTTGACGAGCCTAGCATGTACAGACATGGCCTCGGAACACGAAGACCGAAAGGTCGAACACGAGTCGTATGGAAGATACGATCAACATGAAGATGTTCACCGACGATGACTAGTCCGTCTCACATGATGATCGGACACGGCCTAGTCGACTCGGATCGTGCAACACTTAGATGACTAGAGGGATGTCTAATCTGAGTGGGAGTTCATTATAATAATTTGATTAGATGAACTTAATTATCATGAACTTAGTCTAAAACCTTTGCAAAATATGTCTTGTAGATCAAATGGCCAACGCTCATGTCAACATGAACTTCAACGCGTTCCTAGAGAAAACCAAGCTAAAAGATGATGGCAGCAACTACACGGACTGGGTCTGAAACCTGAGGATCATCCTCATAGCTGCCAGGAAACAATATGTCCTAGAAGGACCGCTAGGTGATGCACCCGTCCCAGAGAACCAAGACATTATGAATGCTTGGCAGTCTCGTGCTGATGATTACTCCCTCGTTCAGTGCGGCATGCTTTACAGCTTAGAACCGGGGCTCCAAAAGCGTTTTGAGCAACACGGAGCATATGAGATGTTCGAGGAGCTGAAACTAGTTTTCCAAGCTCATGCCAAAGTCGAGAGATATGACGTCTCCGACAAGTTCTATAGTTGTAAGATGGAGGAAAATAGTTCTGTCAGTGAGCACATACTCAAAATGTCTGGGTTGCACAACCGCCTGTCCCAGCTGGACATTAACCTCCCGGACGAGGCGGTCATTGACAGAATCCTTCAGTCGCTCCCACCAAGCTACAGGAGCTTTGTGATGAACTACAATATGCAGGGGATGGTGAAGACCATTCCTGAAGTATTTTCAATGCTGAAGTCAGCAGAGGTTGAGATCAAGAAAGAACATCAAGTGTTGATGGTCAATAAGACCACTAAGTTCAAGAAGGGCAAGGGTAAGAAGAACTTCAAGAAGGACGGCAAAGATGTTGCCGCGCCTGGTAAGCCAGTTACCGGGAAGAAGTCAAAGAATGGACCCAAGCCTGAGACTGAGTGCTTTTATTGCAAGGGGAAGGGTCACTGGAAGCGGAACTGCCCCAAATACTTAGCAGATAAGAAGGCCGGCAACACTAAAGGTATATTTGATATACATGTAATTGATGTGTACCTTACCAGTACTCGTAGTAACTCCTGGGTATTTGATACCGGTGCCGTTGCTCATATTTGTAACTCACAGCAGGAGCTGCGGAATAAGCGGAGACTAGCGAAGGACGAGGTGACGATGCGCGTCGGGAATGGTTCCAAGGTCGATGTGATCGCCGTCGGCACGCTA